CCCCACCTGTACTCACCATAAGACTGACAGCTAAAGACATGCCTCTAACCCACTATGGAATCAGTCTTAATACTCTGACCACTGTGTCTCTCAGAAGACTGGGCTTTTAGGGGAATTCAGCCAAACCACTCGTCTGTCCAACAACCACATTTTCAAAAGCCAAATGCCACATTACACTGTATCTACACTTTGTATTTCAAGTGGTATCAGAGGGAATTTTTTGAGTCATATAAGGGCCAGAACAGCTTTTTACACTAAAATGAAACTGCAGTTCTCATCAAATCCTAGGAATAGTAACGTTTTCTTATCAAATAATTCAATAAAAAGCATTAAGTCGTACTGATTTCGGTTCCTGTTTCTCACTGCTTGGCACCCATATCATATCCTGTTGCATTACATGGTTTGCTATTTGACTGTGCCACGAGGAGAAATAAACACTTTCCTAAATTTTCTAATTTTAAACACAATGTTAAAATATTATCTTAGGTATGTGATGGGTACTGTTTTGCTCTGACATTAATGTCTCCAGGAATACAGCTGTGTTTTTCTTCAAGAAGGGATATTTTCACATCAGAAATTAGTTTCTAAAATTTGCTAGATTCTTTAGTTCATGGCAATGGCTTATAGAAGGACAGGTGCATATTTGCTTTCTAATGCTGTTTTAAGAATATCATTTATTATACCTTTCTATAAGGTTAATTTAGACTGTCAGCTTGGACATTATATCAGTTTCCAAACCCATGCTTAGTATGTTTTAAAATTTCACATCAGAGCTCATTTATTTTAACAATGTAATGTTGGTATAATCAAAAGCATAGACAATTTAAAATTACATCTATAAAATTATGGATAATATTTTTTTGCTTTATTCTGCTTCTTAAAATTCTTGATGTTCAGTGAGATATATAACAAAAATGTTCAATTTGTACAATAAATACCTCTACTGCATTTTATACTTATGGTCTTGGAGTAAATTTTACTCTTGAGACTTTACATAAGTGTATTTGTATTTGAGAAATATTTCACCTGTTCAGCTATTGCCGAGATGGCTCTTGAGCATTTTCTTTGAAAATTTCATTTGCTCTTTCCACAGAATATCATGATGATCAGAAACAAAGAGATCTTAATTGTATGGCATTTTATGAGTCTAATCTTACTACAGTTTGGGAAGGCTGAGGTTTGAAATTGGTTTTGGAAGGTTCTATCTACCTTTATTCCTGTATATATATATACAGGAATATATATATATATATATTCCTGTATATATATATATACACCTATATATCTTGTTTTAGTTCGAACAAGAGATCAGTCAATTTGTGCATCAGAAACTCCTTCTTCATGCTCTCTGTAGAGTCACTGGGATTCAGGCTTAGCTGTGATTGATTTTTTTTTTAAATTGCTCAGAGGATTTTCATTGTACTGTATGTTATGTGGAATAAAAAACCCCATGCTGGAGAAGTCACCATAAAAACCAACATATTCCTTTTGGAGAAAGAAAATTTCTGCTGGATGGTCTCAGACAACCTGCTCCTTCTCTTCCTTAGCTAAAGGCAGCTGCATATGACTTGATTCTGAATTTGTTTTTCAGCTGCGCTCGCTCTCATGTCATTCTTATTGTTAATGCAGTGAACATGGGCAAAAGAAAATAATCTCCTTCTCTAGAAGGCATTTCACACTCTAAAATCTGTGAACTCCATTTCCACAACAGTTTCTTTGATGCATTATCAAGTTTCCTTTTGCAGAGGAGCTTTTGCCACTCGTGATCAGAGAAAAGTGTATTTGGCAGAAACAAAGCTGAGGAAAAGAGCAGAGGGCAATTCAGACAGCAAGACCACTCTTCTATTTGGGATCACTCCACACAGGATAATGTGGACTAAATATGAGAGGCTGAAGAGACATTTTCAGCAATTATATACTGTTGTCAATCCTTTTTTTTGTTGTTGTTTTCAACACACCCAAACACAGTGAGCAGGGAAAAGTATTGCAAAATTATTTTTTCCCTTGCTTTTCTTAAATCAACGGGAAATCAACTATTGAATATGGGCAACAATAAAGAACTCTGAATACCAGTCCTCTTTTCTGACAACATAACTAAATGTAACATAGTCCTTTCCTTTTCTGGGTATAAATAAATGGATTGCTATTGCCACCATGTACACAGAACACATGTTTCCCAAAACAGATATCTTACAGGGCTACAAGTTTCCTCTTTTGCATAGAACAGTATTGGAATTTAGGTGTTAAAAGTGATATTTTTGGCCTGAGTGTGACAACAAAATGTGAGCTGGAGAGCAAACAGACAGACTATTGTTTTCTCTTAGTTCATTCACTTCTGTCAAGAGTATTTCTTGGCAGTTCTTTTCCATTTCATCAGGCCAAGCTCACCATCTTGAAGGATCTTAGAATCACAAAATATTTTATTTTGTAATCCCATCTTTTCCCTTGTTTCATCACCACTCTTTGTTAGCACTCAGCTTTGCTGTTTTACCCCAGATGTCTCTGCTAGTTCAAGGAAACTACTTGCTTTTGTGCACTATCCTCCCTTCATCCTCTGTTTTTAAGACTCATTGTCTCTATTCCATTTGCTACTTTGGCTAGCTCTTCTGTAGACAGAGTGTTGCAAAAGTGTTGTAAAATCATTTATGCCTTGTACCATCTTTTGTTCTTTACTCACACATAAAATTGCACAAGTGGCCAGAGCTACTGTCATTTTTCTCTTGACTTTTTTCTCAGTTGCAAGTGATGCCTTATTAGCTTTAGTGTCATGCACTGAAGTCTCCACACTGCGAAAGCCAGACACTTGTGGAGACCATTCCATAAGGATGTGCTGTATTTCAAGTGTCACAGCATTTCCTTCATGGCTGTCTGACTCCAAATACAGTTTAAGTTCTCCACATCACATACAGCCATGTCACCCCTTTTTCCTGTCCCCAGAGGTGTTAAATTTGTCTGAGATTGTCTTTTCTTCTATGTATAAAGAGAGAGGTATGTCTCTGTTTCAAAAAGTTCAGTCACTCTCTCTGTATCCTCAATAACTGTGTTAATGAGCTCAACACTGAAGGTGTTTTGCAGATTCACCTGTTCTCTTTGAATGAGATCCATTTGAAAACAAACAGCTCTCCAACTCTCTACTACATAGATCACTTCTCTGTCTCACAGCCCAGAAAACTGAAGTACTGTTTTCTTCCTCTTTTTCCCCCAATTCTTCCTAGTGTTTCTAGTTTCAGAGTCCAGAGGCAACATATTTGCCAAGCACAAGCTTTAGGAGTTTGTTTCTTCTCCTGACAGCTTTAAATGCCTTAATTTGTGTCAAGTGGTGTGGCCACACAAAAGAGAGGACAAATCAGCTGTCAACAATTTGGGTGTTTTTAAAAACACTCTGAGAACTAAGGACCTGCCTAAAGCTGGGCCTTAATGAACGTCATTTAGAAGGGAAATAGAGTACAATATTGCCTTATAGAATAAAATTCATTAAGATTTCAGGCAACACGAATTCAAAAGCCTGGTGAAGAGGTTTGCACCTCATCTTTTTAAATCCCGAAGAGTCTCCTGGCTATGGAGACACATTTGTCTTTCTTGTTTATTGGGAAACTCCTTTCCACCAGAACTGGTATGCAGGTGTAGGAGTAGGCTTGCTCTTATTCATCATGTGTGAAAAAAGCGTGATAGAAACCACTGCAAAGAACAGCAGAAGAGTGCACTTTAGAGAGAACAAATCTATATCCAGGTGTCTAAAAATTCACTTATAAAGTTAAGCCACAGGCTTTTAAAGTCAGGAAGCTTTTAGCCACAAAGAACTGACTCCATGTGCATCCCTGTTCACCAAGTGACTGTTATTAAAGCACCCAAAATAAAAAAAGAGTAGTTCCCAAACTAGGATATCCCATCAGGAAATACTTCAGTGAAAGACATGAATTGGCTGCTGCAAAGGTGTTCTGATTCAGCAATAATTCCATAAGAATGTTTATACTTCCTTTAAATTGAGAATAAATTCAAGTCTGCCCTCCTAACCCTGTTACTAATTTGAAGTGTATCAGTAATACACAGAGAGGCTGAAGTAATGCAGCTTTAAGACCCAAAACTGAGAGAATCCCTTCTTGCTGCTGGCTGGCAGCGGAAACGGCATCGAGACCTGCAGTCTTGCACAACCCTGAAGTTTCGTGCTCATCGTGCACAAAGTAATTGGTTATTCCCAGGGGGACTAGAACAAAGGAGAAATAAAACACGAATGCGGCAGATCTCAGCCACTGACGCGGTGCCGCTCGCTTGCAGCGCGGCTGTGACAGCTTCGTGCTGCGGGTCACAAACGCTGGCAAAGGAGTCCCAGCTGGGCTGGGGGGCCTGACAAAAAACAAGCCAAACACAGCCACGGGTGTGGAACCAGAAACGAAACGGCTGAGACGGTGAACCACAGCTTTCAGACAGCCGGCTGGTGCTTCAACACCTCTCACCAGCGCGGCTCTGCCAGAATTCTTACCTACGGCACCTTCGGGCGCAGCTGTGCTCTCTACCAAACACCATTTAGCTATTTACCAAATAAAAATATGTAACAAATATATTATTTATGTGATCATAGACCCAATGTACTTTGAAACACAACTTTACCGGCTCCCCGGACCCCCGAGCGCTGCCGGGTGCAGTACCCTGCCCACCCCCGGGAGCCGTGGGGCCGGTCTCCGCATCGCAGGGCCAAGAAGGTGCCGCTCTTTCTGGGCTATGTCTAAACCCGGCGCTCAGCATTGACTCCCCAGTCCTCCCCGGTAGCTCCAGAGACGGCAGTGAGGGGCACAGGCGGGATTCCGCAGGACCGGGAGCTCCAGCCAAGCGGTCCCGGCGAGGCTCTGGGAAAGGGTCGGTGGGGATGGGCCAGTGCCCGAGACCCTCCGCATCGCCAGTGCCGGGGGTCCCAGGTTTGCACAGCCCTGGCCGTGACCCGGCTCCGAGCGCACGGAGACGGAAATCCCCGGCGGGAGGAGGCGTGGAGAGAGAAAGGAGAACGGCCCACGGCGGGCAGCTGCCGGCTTGGCTTAGCTCAGCTCAGCTCTGCTCAGCTCAGCTCCGCACGATGAAGCCGCGAGGGTGAGTAGTGACCCCGGGCCGCGGAAAAAGGGGACCTGCCGCCCCCCTCATTCATCGCTGGGGCACGGGGGGAACTCCCCGGCTGGCTCCGGGACAGGGATGCGCATCCCCCTTTTAGGGAAACCCGAGCTTCGCTGCTGCAGCGGGCAGGGAAAGCGCTGGCGCGGGTGGGCTGCTTTACTGGAGTCAGGGGCGAGGGGAACACTCCTGATCCCTGGACAGCGGTTGCGACGATAAAAGCTCCTGGAGGCAGCTCCCGTCCCCCGGCGGGTCCCGCGACGCTCCCGGTTCTCGGAGCCGCGGGACCGGAGCCGAGGGGTTGAGGATGTTCCCAGAACCTCCTTCCCCTGTTAGCCGGGCTGGAACCCCTTGTCTCTCCGCGTTCGAGGGCTACAGGCAATTAACGGGCATTTTATGGAGATTTTTAGCCGAAAGTGAACTATGGGAGATGACTCAGCTGAGTTTTTATTGCCCAGGTTGGCGTTTCTTTAGGGCAAGTGTTAGAAGAGCTCCGCAGGTAACTTATTTGGGGCACCTGCTGATGCGAGAAGAGCCGTGTCGCTACAAGGGTAGGGGGTAAAGTGGATCTCAAGGGGGTAAAGTGGATCTCAAATGGTTGTTGTAACTGAAAGCATCGGGACATCTTTTGCCTGGCAGGGTTGTGCCAGAGCAGCAACCTTCCATGGCTCTAAGATGAGCAGTGATGGAAAAAATGTTGGTAGGAAGAATGATCTCATCAAATAAGAATGTATGAAAAGGGAACTGCAACTTTCTCCTGTTTCATATGGCATTTTAAAAAAAAATTGCAGAAGAGGGAAGGTGTGGGAAAGACTTGAGAAAGGATAAAATAAAGTTAAAATATCTTTTAAAAATCAGAGAAAACCTAAGAAACTTACTGGAGCTCACTGCTAGTGTGGGGGACACAGGAGCTGGGTGTACATAGAGGACAAAACAGAGGTTTTGCTGCAGGCAAGAGCATTTCTCCCTTTTTCCAATAGAAGCTGGGAATTAATGCTATTCCAGAGGAACACGGTGGGTTGACACTGCCCCCACACAACCACAGCTGCAACCTCCTCCAAGTAAGAGGATGAGATCTGTCCAATCTTGGCTGTGCATCATTATCAAAACAAGAAATCAAGATCTGCTTTGTGTACATACATATGAGAATCGGTTCTGGCTGACTATTGGAATGTTTGTTGACATTAGCAAAAGCCTACTATGGGAAATTCCCTAAGGAGTCCCTTAAAGATAAGTCAGTTACTTTCTGTATTTCATTCAAATGAGTTGCTATATCCATAATTTCCATGTGGGTGGGGATTGATAAAACAAGCACAGGATTAAGAAAGATTAAAGACTACATTAAACGGAGGTTATCAAGACAGATCTCTAGAAGCCTGGCACAAAAGTGATGACTCCTGCACTGTATAAAAATACAACAGGAATACAATACAAAGCCATGTGCAGAAGCCACCAAAAGTCACTGACAGAGACAGAGCAGAGCAGAGCTGCCTCTCTGGAATGTTTAGGTACGATTACTTAGGAGAGTTCCTTTAAGCCTGATGGCAGATTCACTAAAATAAGTAATAGAGCAGAAATGTTCTACACTGGTCATCCACTTAAACATTTGAAACCTCATCTATGAAACTGTTTCAAAGGACACAGAAAAGAAAAATGAAGTGTTTCCTTCATATAAAAGAAATACAGTTCATAGTGCTTCTCCCCAAAACTTTCTCCATCTCAGTCTCTGGAGATGGGGCTTCAAGTGGAGGTAGATTTTGTGTCAGGAATGTTCTGTGCTTTCTCCATGGGAAGCCAAATATGTTTGGGGGGATTATAACTTTGAGGGAGGCAGGTGGGAATTAGAAACACTCCTCCACAGCAGAGGAGCCCCACGGTGTGCCTGGGGAAGCTGGTAGGAGTAAAGCTGGGCAGAAGCGATGCTGTGCCTGGGAAGTGGATTATGAATTCTTATGCTTGGCTGGACAAAGGAGCAGAAGCTGTGGGGAAAGGGCAGAAAGCTTGGAAGAGAGAGAGAAGGGATGTTGTAAAGCATAGCTGATGGGGAAAAGCAAGGTGAGAAATGGCTGCTGGGGAAGTGAGCTTAGGGCTTGGAGGGAGGAGAGTCAGGGTTGGGAGGGAAGGCAGTGAGCGATCTGGGTGGAAGATCCTGGAGCTCAATCCTGGCTGGACATGGACTGCTGGAGGCAGCTCTACCCATTGTCCCCAACCCTTGGCTCAGTGTTGGACCTGGCTGAGGGTTGAGAACAACTGAGGAAAGGAGCTGTACCCAAGTAGTGTGGCCTCACAGTCCTACTTGCTTGCAAGAGTGAGCTGGGCAAACCAGCAACGAGCCAGTGCTCGTGTCCCTCTGCCCATCAGCTCAGCTTTGCAACCTTATTGTACCTGGGGCAATATCAAGGTGGGCAACTGCAGCCAGAAAAGTCTCATTGCAAAACCTTTCCAGCATTCCAAAACCTTTCCTTTCCCTTCCCACAGCACTCTGGAGGAAGGAGAGAACAATGTGTAACTAGGCATGGTGGTGAAAGGCTACTTTAAAGTAACTCCTAAGAAAGTGCTGCGCATTTATCTTCCTTAAAGCCCTGTGGGATGACAGTTAAGTCACTTGGACTTTGTAGACAGGTTAAACTGGGTTTTCCTATAGCATCTATCTCCTATAACACCCTGGGGTAACTCCTGCATAGATTTGCCCCTCCTGAGTAATCAAACACACCGAATTCTTTCCAGCAAAACCTTTGCACTCCACTCCAGTGCTCTCCACTATCAGCACGTTTCCTGTTTACACATTTTTACTGAGTGCACAAACCGGTGGGCAATGTGGTCAGCTGCTCTTTGACCTTTACCCAGACAAAACCATAACTCCCTGAGTTTCAGCAAAAGTATGAAAAACCTAGGTTTCGACCTGGGCATCCACTGTCCTTCCCAGTGATCCAGATAGCCTCCAGGGCCTGTTTGTCCGTCTTTGTCCCATTTGTCAATCCAGTTTGTTTTTCACAAAAGAGACAGGCACAATACCAGCTTCATGCCCTCTGCTCTGATTCCAATATTAGTGCATTTTGCTGCTATTCATGGCCTTGGCCACCTACCCACAGTTATGAACAGAAGTTTTGCAGCTGTCAAAAATGCAAATAATTAATGGGGCATTACACAGTAGCAGTACCTAATTTACCTACTTCTGCCACTGTACTAAAACAATCAATATTGGGTTTATTGCTTATTTAAACAAGAGAGACTCTAAAGTCAATCATGTAACGCTCTTGTTTGCTTTTATTTTTAGTTATGGATTTCTGTTACTGCTCCTACATCTTCTGAGAGCTGGTAAGTGCAGAACACTTCAGTTAAAAACTAAGCTTCCCTCCCTTTATTGTGTTTATTATGTTTGGCCAAATACACAAAGCAGTTGTAAAATGCACAATATAATCATCTGCCTGTTTTCAGCAAGATACTTAAACATTCCTCAGTGTGAAATGTTTCTCTGACGTGCATCAGGGAAAGATGGAACAATCAATTTTTATCAGTTTCACTGCAGAGAACAGCGAGGGACCTCATGGATGCTCTTGCTCAGATTGCTTTGCTTGCTTCAGAGATATCCCTGCTTACATATCTCTGCCAACAAAAGGCCTTCGAAGTGGACTAATAAGGGCTGTTGATAAGCAGATCTAACGTGCCTGGATACTCATGACTAGAATTATACATCACAGTGTCCAGCACCCAACAGTAGTAAGTCTTTTACTGCAGTTCCAAAATATCCCTTGCAAAACGAAGGTAGGGTTAAGCGACATCACCTGGTGATATTTAAGTGTTTTTAGAGTTGTCTCTCCTCAGTTCCTGCTTAATCATTGAGAAGGACCTCAAAAAAAATCATCAAGGAAACTCCCTGGCCCCAACATCAAGACAAACTGTACCAGCTTCAGTCTCAGTAGGTGCCAGCTGGCCTCTTCTTGCAGAACACCAGTGGTGGAGGTTACCTCATCTTCCCTGGGTGCCATTCTCCTGCTACTGAAGGGGGTTTCCCGGAGTCTGAGCCACAGCATCTGTGTTGCAGTTCAAGCCTGTAACTTCTTGTCTGACTCCTTGGAGGATAAGGGCCTGGAAAACATCCCACCTTCCTCCCTGCAATCTGCTTCATTGGTGTTTTAAAGCCAGGGTGCCCAACTCAGAGGTGTAAATGAGCTATTTCTGAGTTCAGTGCACCCTCACAAACAGAGGTCCCCCTTTAATATTGATGCCTCCCTCCCACCTCACCATGCCCTGTTTCCGCATTTCCAAACCTTCAGTCCTATCATCTTTCTTTCCCAAATCATCCACCCACATAATCCCTTCCCCCAGATGTAATCTCTGCCATTCAACCCCATGCCTGACCCCCTCTCACCCCCCTGCCTGACACAACACATACACTGCTTTGCTGTCAGCAACCAGTTGCACCGAGGAGGTTTTGGCCAGGAGGAGAGGCTGCCTTTCTCCAGTCTGGAAGGCAGGAAAAGTGTTCTGAAAGCCAAATAAGTTCTGAAAGCCACCTACCTCAAGTGACCCTTAAGTTTTAAATGTCTAATGGATGTGTCACTGGAGGCATCTGGCCAGGCTGTTTTGCCATCTGTATGTGTTTATTGAGAGGGTGTCACCGATAGTAGCAACTAAATGTGATTTCTATGGCATTCCTGCTTTGAGAAACACTACTTTTAGTCCCCTTCTTAATTTTTTGGGTGTCAAAATAATGGTAGCACTCTTTTTCTCATCAGTGTTTCCCTTTCTCGTGATTTACCTCGTGTTACTTGGAATTTTTCTTAATTAAAAAAAACCTCCAAGTGATTATTAAAGCATTAGGGCTTGAATATGTGTCTGCAGTCAGTGGGCAAAGTGCAACATGTGAATATCCATGGGGCTGGGAATGCTTAAGACTGGTTGGTCCTCAGAGAAATGGTCCCTTTGGACAATATACAGAAAAATGGATGTGGAGAGAATTAGCCACTGGCAAGTCATGTGGTAGGAATGACTATGAAGTGAGCACACACACACCTGTTATAAATACTAATACTGGAGTCTGTGTGTACTTGAAAATAATGACCCTTTTTCCACATAACCTCCCTTATTTCTCTCTCTCTTTTGATCCTGCAGTTATTGCACTAGAGAAGAAGAATGTCATCAGTAAACTCGGAGACAACGCTACACTAAGTTGTATTTTTGACAAAAGAGACTTGCAATTAAAAAATCTACGGGTATATTGGCAAATCGCCGATCAAGTGAAGTGTTCAGTTGTGCATGCACTGGTCTCTGGTCAAGACAACTACAGCAATCAGTGTATTCATTTTAAAAACAGGACTCAATTATTCTGGGACAGGTTGGAAAATGGTGATTTTTCTCTACTACTACTTAATGTCAGCCAGAGTGATAAACATACATACAAATGTATAGTACAGGAGAAAAAAGAATTTCCCAAAGTGGTTCACCAGGCAGAAGTGGTTCTCAGTTTAGCAGGTAAGAACTTGTGTCACTTACACATATTTGCCCAAATTCTCATTTCAGTTTTTCAAATTCATGCTATTTCTATATTGTATTTAAGCACACCCTTGGAAACATACTTCAGCCCTTTGCTGAAATGATGTGTGCTTAACTTAAATATTACAGACAGGGAATCTAAACCTGGGAGAATACCTGTAACAACTGTTTACCCAGTGTGTGTTTCTTTTCCTCTTGTTTTTCATTAATATTAAGACTCTTGCATGTGACTGGGTGACAGCAGCTTAAGAAGCTGCTTTCTTCCTCTGGGTTTGGCTTTAGCTTTCTGCCCTTCCAGTAATTCTCTCAGCTCTCTGGGCTGAGAGAACCTGCAGGTGTTTCCCTTTCAAGTTATGAAGGCCATGTGAAACCCAGAAGTTCTGCTTCAGAGCCCACGTCAGAATTTTGTCTTCTCAATGTGTTTCAAAGTATCAGCGACTGTTTCTTCTTCTCCTACTCTCCAGCTAGTTACAGCCAACCAATACTCAGCGGACCAATAAGAAACAGTACTGGAGAGGAGGTGACTTTCAGCTGCAGGTCTGGCAATGGATACCCAAAGCCCAATGTTTATTGGATAAATAAAATGAACAACAGTCTCCTGAACGCATCATCGCTGGAGATCATCTCCCACGCCGACGGCACCTACAGCGTTTTCAGCACCCTGACGGTGAAAGCCACTTCCAACATGCAAATAGAGTGCTCCATAGAAAATGAAATGCTGCAGGAAAATCTATCAGCCAACTGTAAGTCCCTTCATGCTGCTTCATGTTTTCTAGATAGCAGGAACATCAACCCACAGTGCATCTCTGTCCGTAGATACACACTAACAAGGCCTATGTGTTAATTTAGTAGTTCCAAGAGGTGCTCTGAGAAGAGCTCAGGTTTTGTTTCAAGCTAATTATGCCTAGCCATGCATTTTTATGTTTACTTCTTTCACACTGAAGTGAATACCCCATAAAGTGTGTGATGACAACAGCTCTGAGGAGCTCTTGCATGCCGGGCAGTCACTGTGCTTTACTCTTTGGTCCCTCGGGAATATGCTGACTTGGGGAATTAAGTTATTTTTCAAGGGCCACCGTACAGCAGATCCATGCTTTCTGACTGCCTACCCAACTGCTTTGCAGACTCATAGTTACTTTTTACTCTGCCTAGTTTCAAAGTTCAGTTTTCAGTCTCCAAAACTCAATTCATTACAGTGCACTATTTAAAGCAGGCCTGCAGAAATGTGGGTAATGTCAGCTGAATAGAACAATACACCTAACAGCACAAGTATAATATGCTATTTATTGCTGATGTGAGTCATCAATAGTAAAAGCAAGTATTTAGCACTCAACTCTTCACAAAATCAGAAAGCTATTAAAAAGAAACAAACAAACAAACAAACTATAAAGTTAGAGCTATAATACCACTGCTGAAGGTCATTATTTCAAACAAAACTGTGTAGAGAAGCTGTATGGAGTGGGAAGGCTTACCTGGAGGTGGCTCTGTGCTCTCACTGCAATTCCTGGTCCTACCTCCAGCTACCCCTTTCTCTCACAGGTTTCTGCACTCTGGTGCAAGGAGGTTGGACTGTTTGCATAACTGTAGCTGGATACCCACAACTTGTGTACCTGAACACTCCAAGGAATCACATACTCTGGACTTAACAACACTGATCCCACAAACATAGGCAAACTACATAAACTATTTCCAGGAACAAAAACTATGCACACGAGCAAAAGTTGCACAGTAGAGTGTTTAAATGATGATATACCATGCTGTCATCCCAAATTAAAGGAAAACTGAGTAACCTTGTCATTAGTTTCCTAATGGCATTCTGTCATATTGTCTTCTGGGGGAAAAGACCTTCATATTACCAGTTTCTGTTTGTTTTTAAAAGCACATGACACTTGAAATAGTTAAGGGATGTGATTTAAAACCCTCAGTTTGCAGCAGTAGGTGAAGATTCTCTGTTAATTTCAGGGAAAGAGGTTTTCACTCACTTTTCTGAATACATTCAGATTTACATTATAGATTCTGTATAGATTTATTTTTAACTGAGTCTAAGTACAAGCCCAAACATAAAGTCTCTCAAGGCTGGCAGGAAAGAACAAAAAAGAAGAAAGAAGGATGGATGCAGTGTGATGAAAGGGAAGAGTAAACTGGTATTGTATTATTGGACATTATTAGCTGGAGATGTGCCTTGCTCAGAAGAAATCACCAGTATCACAGTGATACATATAGCACAAATATTTAATCCCTCAGAATTTTTTTATATATGAAAATTTGGTGAAATATTTGCCTGGTATGAAATGTGAACATTTACACCTTATTACATCCCCTTTCTATTTTATTCTAGACACGGAGCAGAAGCAAAGCAATGGTTCTAGCACAGAAAACCTAGGGAAAAAAGGAAGACTTGCTCAAGCAGCTGGCATCATTTGCATTGTCATTCTGATAGGCCTTCTAGCTGTTTTAATCTGCTGGCTGTGGAGACGGAGGTCCTCCCATCTGGTGTCCTATACAGGTAATGAGACACTTCATTTGCACGACCAAATGTCTTAAGAATTCTTTTTCACTTACAAATATACTTCATGCTATCCATTGTGTCACTGGTAGGTACGACTAAGCTGCCTGTGCACAGGGAAATGCACCTGCAGGAAACTGTGCTGTTTTCAAAAACCTGTGGGGCCCTGGGGACGACACATAGCACCCCAGGGCATGTTATTCTTTATGGTTTTCTGCTCTTGTGCCTGAGCCTCACAGGAGTTAGCTGCTGGATGTGAGAGTAACTCAGACTTTGTGCCTGTTCAGGCCATAGTTTGTCACCTGTGATCCCTGCAGGGATCTGTTTCTGGACAGATGGAGGGGATACTCCTCCATGGAATAGAACTGGGTTCAGTAGCTTGCTCTGCTTAGCACACTCTGAAGCAGAAATCAGAGCATAATCCAATCCTGAGAGCTTTAGAGTCACTGGCTGGAAAATTAAGGGTCAGGATCCCACCAGGATCAAGCGGATTTCTACAGAAATATAGCTTGTCTCATTGTCACACATGTACTCTTGTGTTGCTGCATGACATCAATGCTTGGCCTAACAGAACAAAAGGGAGCTCTAAAAGAGGTCTTGTGAACCAGACTGAGTCTGCCAAGCTATCTGAGTACTTGCTGTAAGCTACTTTGCAGCTGTACAGGAGCTAACACCTGAGAAAAGGGAGCAGGGACAACCAGACTTTTCATGGACAAGGACAATCCTCGTTTCCAATCCATACCCTCTTCCTCCATGCTAGTAAGCCTGCGTGTCTCAGAAAAGAGCAGGAGAAAGCAGGGTAGTGATCTTGTCCAGCATCTGCAGCAGCTGTTCTAGAAGTCATGTCCTTCGCTCAGAAACAACCCAAGGAGGGTGCAGGACTCTGTCCCAAGACATGGAGCAGGGCTATTACCTCATTATTTTATTATCCAAATCTGTCCTTCCTGAAATAGTAACCTATATTGTAAGACAATGGAGTAAGGACTGCATTTTACTCTTCAAAGAGCATTTAGCACATTGAACCCTCAGCATTGGTGGATGTTGCTTAATATTAATCTCATTTGGATAAACACTATAGTTATCTACCCTACATGCTTAAACCTGTGAATTTGTTTCAATAGATGTCCCACCAAATGAATACAAAGAAGGACCCAACCGTAAGTATTAAAAATATATTACTGTATTTGTCTCAAGAGTGACTTAACTTCAAAGCTTTGGTACCCAAGTTTAGCACAAAGCCTTTAGATTAGACTTGTTGGATGTTATAACTCAAGCATGTAAAGTAGGAGCCCTACTTCTTCTGTCAGCCTTTTCCTCAAGGTCTGTAAGTGTTGACAAAGGCAGCCTGAGAGTCTTAGTTCCCAAAAGTTCCTTCAACAGTTCAGGCCAAAGGACATGACAAATCAACAGGGAACATGGAGCATACAGGCTGAAGCCACCCTCCCTTCTTGTTCTACAACTATGCCAAAGCTTCATTGCCACAAACTTGGAAAATCTATCTTAAATGCTGATTTTTGAGTCTGGACAACACTGACCATTTATCATTTCATATCACTACAGTGCATATCACCAACTGGTTGTTCCCTGCCTTTTTAGGCACAATATCCTAGAAGGTTTTTAACTGGGATACAGGAACATAATTTTCTTTATGTCTATGAACCTGAGCCTTTATACACCCAACTAAAATAAAATACTAAGCACTCTCCTAGAAAAAAATTACACAGTTCAGACCTTCAGCATGTTCATATTTTTTATAAGCAATAATGCAATATTGCAGGCCAGCTGGTTTACAAATTCATTTACCACTTATAGTGGGAGAAAAATAAAAATAGGGCAAAAAATGAAGATAGATTTGGAAAAACAAACTCAGAACAGGGGATTTTGAGAGTACAGAGAGGTTGAAATATCTGCCTTTGGTAGTTTCTACTTGAGCAAATGACTGTTGCCTGTGTCTCTGCAGAACAGGCAGAAAATACTGTGATTCCACCAAAGCTGTAATAGTTAAAGCATAGTTTGCTGTAGCAGATGCTGTGAATGTACCCAATTCATAGTATCAAGCAGAAGCAATATAACCCCATAAATTAAAAAAATTTCTCAGGAACTTCTTTTGTGGTCATGGAAACTGGGTTAATGGTCAGTTATTTTCCAGACCGCAGCCTGATCCCCAACATTTGTGTTTACTAAACAATGAAAGGCATTGCACTGTTTCCAGCAGAGCATAATGTAGAGAGGAGGATGGATTTTCTCCTTAAAATAAAGAGAGTTTCTCATTTTGTTCCTGTGGACTACATTAACATACATTAACATAACACAAACAGTTCATTTAAGGTCAACTTCCTTTACAGACTGACTTATAGAAGGCCCTACTTATACAAGGGCCTTGACTTTGCTCATAAATAGAAAAATCTCTGTGACGTAAGTAAGAGTAAATATTTGTCTTATTTTGAAGGCTGCTGTAGCACGATTTGTTCATTAAGAACAAAGCAAAGACACTTGCCTTCCAGACACTACCTTTTCCTTGGCATGTCTCTGCACCATTTGTGGAAGAGGAGGTGGGACAGCAGCTTTGGTGGCTCACTGCAATCAGCTGTCCCACCATCTTCTGGGCATCCTAATTTAAGGGCAACTTGGACCAATACCAGAGAAATGAGAATGATTTAGGGATGTGATGGAAGATTGGTTATGTTTGTTTAGGCTGATTAAGGACACGATAAACAAACCTCTTCAGAGAGTCCTTAGAGAGGATGGGACAAGTTATTTGTTGTGCTAACTCAGCTGACACAGCACTTAAGGTCCAACAGATTTAAACAAAGGAGACTTAAGCTGGATTTTAGGAAGAAATGTGTAATGGTAGTTGAGCACTGAGATGGAGAGTTTGTTCAGGCTGTCAAGCCTCCATCTCTCCCAAGTTGTTGCTATTCTGTTTCTTTTTTTTTTTTTTTTTTAACAAAAGAGAAAACTAGTATCTGTCAGAAATTATTTAGTAATATAGCTGGTACTACCCTGGGGAAAAAAGATGGCTCTTGGAGAAACTCCAGCCTAATTCAGTCATCATTTCATATTCTCAAGCAGGCTGTGTGTGGTAGATGGGGAATAAGGCACTGTGGAGGTGCACCCAGGGGGATGCTCTGCCATGCATTTTGCTTTTCAGTACTGATGGGAATGTGCTTCTGGTGGTTTCACTTTATGAAGAAAGTCAGATTGCTTCATGGGCAGTGGGAATCCCAAATACTGCAAACCAAAAAGAGATTACTGAAACTAGCTTTTCTGTTAAAAGGCGGGGGGAAAAGGGTTGGAAACTGTGAGGAAGGCAGGTTGTAAAGAAGAGTAATTCCATCCTGGTGGGGTTAGTCTCTCCAGACACCCATTATAGAGTGGGGTAGAGTGCTCTGGAACAATTCTGACCTGGTCTCTGGAGGGATCCCCTCACTTCCTTAGAGGAGCCTCGGGAAGCCGTTTTCCCTTGACCACAGACAGAATTTGTGCTTCTCATTCTCTGAAACCCAAGGTGACACTGGTATCCCCTCACAAGGGAGGAGGATGTTAGTAGGAGTGCCCTTTTTTGCATTTGCAGAGAGAGGCACTTCCAGGTTGTGGAACAAGGACAGAAGGCCCCCAGTTTCTTGGGTACCCGGGCAGAGACAGGGCTTCACCCCAGCCAGTTCTCTCTCAGCAGCATGAATACCTCTTTTCCATAGCTTTGTTCCACTGATTACATAGAAAAAACAATGCTAGGACATGATTATTTTGTGGAGAGTTTTTTTCTATTTTTTTTTTCTCTGAAAAGAAATTGTTCTGTTTTTACAGTGCCTGCCTAAATGGAAAGTCTGCCAACAATTTGGGCAGCTGGAGATGTGTCAAGAGAAGCATCACTCCCTGTCTCAATGGCAGCACTGTTTGTAATACAACTGAGAGATTTCTGCCAAGAGAGATGGCAAAAAAAAAGCCAACAAACCAAACCAAAACAAAAAAAGCTTCTCCAACACAAGAGACAGGAAAATCTGCTGGATTTTCATTTCAGCCACTGACTGTGTCCACACAGCAGTTGTGTGACCACTCCAGTTAACCACTTGGGACAGTCCTCTGTGACTGTCAGTGATTTGAGTACCTGCACTGAGGAATGCAGTAAGCCTGGGAATCAACTGTTCTGTGCCAGAGCACTGGAAATTGGTGACTGTCCAGTCTCTCATCATCATCTTTGAGGATTTTGCTGGGAGCAGAAGCAGCCACCTTTCAGGAGCATGGGAAGTTCCTGCTGTGTCACCTCACCTGATGACTACTGGATGTGAAGAAAGGAAGCTAAAATAAATAAAACCAAAGGACTCTGCAAAGTGAGAATTGTAACTAACCCTTTCCATGTTTCTCTGTCTACAGTACGTCCTTTTCATTGTCTGGTTTCACCAGCTGCATGTTATTGTGTACAGAACTAGGCAGAACGCTTTGACCCAGGCCTCCAAAACTGATGGGATTAAGCACTGAATGTTTTAACATAAGAGTGCCTTCTTTAAATGCACTTGATAGCAACATTTTGTTTTTTACCAAATATTCCACCAAAAAGGGGATTTCCACTTTTTACAGGAGTCAGAGCATACCGTGTGAAAGAACAGGCTGTGGAATTCTGACCAACTAAAAATAGTGCTTTATGTTATGTTAATGTTGGGTTACCTGGACTTACCCTTTTCGGGATGAAACAAAAACCATGGTCAAGTTCTGCTTGATTCAACCGAATCTTTATTTAAGCACACTCCTGCGGCTTCAGATCTTCCTTTCAGGGAGGATTTTAAACTGAAGTTTTTAAACTGTTCCTCTGCTTGTGTCTCATCCCTCCACCTACCCAACAACAACAACAACAACAACAACAACAAAAACAAAAAAACAACCAACAAAAAAAACAGAACAAAACAAAACAGAAGTGCTGTCAGGCTGTTGTCCATGAATGTCCAGAAAGCCAAGAACTGCAGTTTCCTTATGCCAGTGCATGTGCCTTGCTGTTTCAGCCCCCAAGAGAAACTGGCTGCCGCAAACTTTGCTGATGGTATGAGGTTTTGAAGGAGGAGGAATCTATATTTGCTCACTTGCCCAGGTGGGACAGTTTCATCACAGGGGGATAGAGGTTACAATTTTAGACTGAGTTCTGGAATTACTCAGCTTCCCCTGCACTGGTTACTAGACAAAAATTGTACCATTTTTGTGAATAAGTCACAGCCTTGTTTGCCCTTGTTCTGTGTGTGGGAGGCACTCTGGTGTCAACTGCGAGCTGGGACATTGATTTTTCATATCAAGATCAGCTGTCAAGTCCCAGCCAAGTGAAAATTTTGTTGTCCTGTTCTCCCATCACGTGGAACCGGAATCATCAGGCAATAGTGCAGCAGTTAGCTTTTGTCGAAGCAATACCCCCAAGGAGGCTCCAAGCTGGATAGCTGTGCTTCTCTCACATCCATGAGAGGTGTTAGATATTTTCTGAGTCCAGATATAGTCTTCAGTGAACCATAAAGGGAACCTGCTTGAAGAAAGCTTGCAGGACCTTAAAAATGTGAATAACACCCGTGTAGATGTGCAGGGTAACCATTTCCTAGTGGTTCAGTAAGAAGTCCTGTGGACCTTTCCTTGCTATCTATCACATGAAGTTGTTTTGTGCAGTCTCTTTGGTGCTGCTGTAACTGACAGAAGCCTTCTTCCTAAACAGTTTTCCAACTTTTATAACTTTTATATGCTACAACTGTAAGAAGCTGTAACAGTTCAGAGATGTAAGAAATGACCAAGCAGTCACTCCACAATATGTTGTTAAACTGATCTAGACTGCTTGGATTTTCTTACCTCTGTGCTACTTCATGGATACATCTAAATGCAAAAGCCTGTTCTTGCAAAATGTGTACTTTCAATTGGTTTGAGGTTCCAGCTATTTTTAGAGGGTCCCAGTTGTTTGTTACCATTCAAAGGAAGTAGGAGTTTTGTAATAACAGAGTTTTTGTCTTCACGTGCCACGTTTATATTTTAAATAAAATCCATTCATTCTTCTGGGTGTTTGACTAAATCTACCAGCACGCACACACAAGTCACTCCAAACCATTGCCCCCAACCCAAGTGGTAATTTTACTTTCAGCCACATCCCTCAGGGCATACAAGTGCTCCTTTCCAAAGGCCTCAGATCAGGAGACACCAACGCAACACAGACTTGACCACCTTTGCTTTTTTTGGTCTCACACAACAAAATACCTTGAGCAAACTCAGTGAAAGCCATGCAGTAGCCTGAAGACAGCACTAAGCCCAGGCTGATACATCCATTTCTCACCCAAATTTACAACCCCAAGCAGAGCAGAGGTACAACACTCCCACATCCAGAACTGAAACCAGCTCGTTGCACTGTCCCAGTTCAGTGTTGCACTTGAGCACCAGCATCCCTCTGTTTGTCTTCATTAAAGGTAGCAGCTCACAGGGACTACACATCCCAAGTAGCTTGAACACATGCACAGGAAAGCAACACTTGATGCAGGTTTGGAGCAAGACTCTAAGAAATGGACTTACTTTCACAGAAAAGTGAAAGACAGTTATTGTGGCATGGCTGGTAAACCACAAGTGGAAAGCCCCAAGAGAAAACATGTGTAGCTACTTAGTGATCTGAATCCATCCGTCCTGTAGTCAAATTCATTTTTAAAATCTTTTTACCTGTGAAAGCTGAAATATCTCTTTTGCTCAAAAAAGCACTCCCTTTTCCCTCTTCAACAGCCCTGACTCCAGACACTTTCCTCAGTAGCCCTTGTGCCATGCCAAAGAAACTCTAGTAGTTGCTTTTCCAACTTGCAAAGTGAATCTTTCTCATATTTGTAGCAAACATACACAAAAGTTCACATTTCCTCATAAGTGTAATCTCTCTAACCTCTCTTTTTTTCCAGAAGAAGAGAAACTGCTCTAAGGAATAATTGAGTACAGCCCAACTCCACAGGGAGAGAACCCCCATAAACCCTACAGATGTTGGTTAGGCTCTGGGACTTTTCCTCTCAATGTGTGGTGGGCATTAGGACCTTCACCACGTTCATCAGATGATATGGAATGCAATCATTGTAATATGGTCACCATTTGAGGATTATTATGGAGCTCCTGGAGCAAGTCCAGAACAGGGCTACAGAGACGATTAGCACCTCATTTACAAGGAAAGGCTGAGGGAGCTGGGCCTGTTCAACCTCAAGAAAAGATGACTGAGAGGGGACCCCATCAATATATATAAATATTGGAAAGGAAGGTGTCAGAGGATGGACTCAGGCTCTGCTTGGTTGTTCCAAGCAATAGGACAAGAGGCAACAGGTAGAAACTGATGCACATGAACTTAAGGAAGAACTTCTGTTCAGTGAGAGTGACTGAGCACTGGAACAGATTGTGGAGATCTCTTCCCTGAAGATATTCAAAAGCCATCTGGACACAATCCTGAGTAATGCGCTCCTGGGAACCCTGCATGAGCAGGGAGGTTGGACTAGATGACCTCCAATGGTCCCTTCCAAACTTACCCATTCTGTGGTTATAGAAGGTACCTCACATGTTCTTTGAGGTGATCCCTGCATCTGGCATTCCAGGGAATTACAGGCCACACACCAGTGGCTTCTGTGTCGTCCATCATTCAAGACACACTTAGGTGACAACAGGTCAGTTTGTACAGCTACCTTCCAACACAAGAAAAACACTTCAAACACTTCATGTCTTATCAGCACCACTAACAAGCATAAGCACTGTATCCAAACCAATGCCCCATGATGCAAAATGCAAGTCCTTGGCAACTATTAATCACAAACTCTTTGTTTGTAGTTGTTAGGAAAGAGCCTGTTTCCCATTTCAGTTTGGCACAGAAAATTGCTGTGTAGAGACAGATACTCATGTATCACAAGAGACTGAAGCTGACCCTCCAACTTGCCTGAAACAGGTCCCAAGAGTTTAGTAATAAATTAGTGATTTATTTTCCTGTGATTCCAGGAAGTGCTGCTTAGAATGATTTTATAATTGAAAAGCTTGGACACGGAAGTCATGCCCAGAGTCACACAAGGCTGTAGATGACTTGGAGCTTGCACTCACATCTCCAGCATGCAGAAACCTTCTTTCACTTGCTGGACTGGAAAGTTCAGTCCTTTGCAGCATTCACCCCAGTAGGTATCATAAGTCAACAGAAGCTGTTTGAATAGGATTACACTGCATAAAAAAAAAAAGTCCACCCTTAAAAAAAAAAAAAAGAGAAAAAAGATATCTCTCAGTTCAGACCAGGAATCTTTTAAGAATCTGTCAGTAAGAAGCAACACTAACACAGTTACTACGTGGACAGAGAGGGACTGCTAACATTTCCTTCTTAATTTCTTCTGCCAGATCTGTGCTGTCACGTGTCATCCCTCTTAGGAGGCTGAGAGGGTAGTTTCGAAACAAGATCAAATTCGCTCGCAGAAACAACTTTTACACAGCATCATGCTGGACTGGAAGCAATTCTGTTCCTCTCAATTAATCTCTTTATCAGTCAGACTTACCACAATTGTGTTACCTAACTTGCGAAATACATCACTCCTGCAGTTATCGTAACTAAAAATAGGTCAAGGGATAAACGTGCAACTGTGTCTGAACTGTAGCTGTTTTTATAAGACTAGGTAAACACAAAATATCTTTATCGCCTCATTGGGAGTCTTATTAACCAATTTAGATTAAACTGAGTTTGATCAAACTCTGTGTCAGCAAAGTACCAGAAGTCTTATCACAAACCTGGTCTTTCAAAGCCCTTTCTTTGGTTTTCTATACCTGTGTTCATGCTTTTATCTGGCTCTATCTGCAGCACAGAGGGTTGCTCTCTTATTTAAGCTATACTATTGAATTATCTCATCAATACCATGAGAAAAATCGAGCCCTGTGTGGGTTCCTGACCTACTGAACAAGGCAAGAGGGCTGGCCAGATAATGACTGCCCTTTCCAGGAAAATC